TTTGTTCCTTTCATAGATACTGGGGACTCAAAAAAAAAAAAAAAAAAAAAAAAAAAAAAAAAAAAAAAACGTGAGTCTTCTGTTAAATAAATCTGTGTGATCAAACCGTGTGGGCGATGTAGCCAGGCTTCTTTAAGGCCTACAATATATGATTTCCAGTTAAATTTCTATAGGCCTACAAACCGTACATGATTTCCAGTTAAATTCTACTTCCGTTCGTAAGGTTTGATTTCCTTAACGAAAAGCGAACACATTCGTTGACTATGAACAAAAGAAAAAAAAACGGGAAAAGCTAGATCAGTAGCAATTGGAGGAGGTGTCATGGCGTCTGATTCTATTTTCGGGACACGGGGTTTATTTTGATGACGTCACAGAAGTTACGGATGTTTTGTGAATAGGGTCGATCATTTTGGTCTCTTCAGTTTACAAGAGGATAGAAAATAATTATTTTAATGGTTATATTTTCACTGAACAATCATCAACACCGCGCCATGACACCTCCTCGAGTTGCTACTGATCTAGATTTTCCCGAAAAAAAGTCCGAACACACTGTTAAGTTCAGCTAACAGGCACCAAGGTAACATCTTACTCGTTGCGAGTATCCTGTTGTAACAATAAGTTCAATTGCCTTCACTTTGTCACAGAATTGTTTCAAACGATACATACGCTGCACGATTGCTTCCATTTCCTGTACGACCTTATGCCCGCCGTACGCACGCATTTCGTGTTTCAATTTGTTTTCTTGTTTTTTTTCTCTTATTCTTTATTCCACCGCCTTTTAATTACAATTTTGTCTTCTCTTTCTTTTATTTTTTTTTTTTTCTTTTAATTACAGTTTTGTTTTCTTGTTTCTGTTTTCTGTGTTGTTTTTTATCTGTAGGTGATGACTTTTATTTTGTTTTTATCTGCATTTGTTCTTGTAAAAAGTCAATCTCTTTGCCGCTGTGACACCCTTTTTGGTGTTCCATTGTGGCCTTCTATATTGACGTAAGATATTCCACCATGACACTCACATATATATATATATATATATAATATATATATTCCTTCCACCATGACACTCATTAAAAAAATATATATATTACGAATGCAGTAGTTGTCATGGAATTTAATGTGCAAATCACTTTCCTTAAACTGCACGATACTATATATACAAAATTAAAGTATTTACGGATCTTGTAAGGGTTATGATAAATAAGCTTTGCGAATATCACTGAATGCTCAATTTTGGATGAGATATGCAGTAAACTCTGTAGCTTCATTCGTGAAAACATTTTTTTTTCAATTTCTTCAAATTCTCACAAGAATTCTAACGTCAACCATAGTTCATCTTTATTTCAATGCACAGTCAAGACTTTTTTATAGCTAAACATTATATATCTGAAGTGTGCAGTAGGCTTCCCTTGGACATTCTTGGAAACTAATACCCACCCAAAATAATTATTAATAATTCAAAAACACGGCAATATGGAGTATACAAATACCACACACACACACACACACACACACACACACACACACACACACACACACACACACACACACACACACAACACACACAAACACACACACACACAAACACATACAAAAAAAAAAAACATCACTGTAACAGAACAATTCTTTCTCGGACAAGTTTCGAAAGGTGCACACCCTCAGTTCACATCGACGCAAAAGATGCAACACCTTCACCAACCTTAGCGTTCAGTAGTGCCAGTCCGGTCGCACAACAAGGCGGTCTCTTTGGCTGACTGCAGGCACAAGGCGCCTTACACACTATATCCGTTCTATTGAGTAACCGGATTTTATGTTGTATCCGTCATTAACCCTTGTGTGAATGACAGCACGAGGAAATATGTGATAAGATTGTACTAATCATGTTTCTTATCAGTGCCTGCATTAACATTGGGAAATCTAGAGGAAATAAACTCGTGTTACATTTGTCTGTCTGTCTGTCGGTCGGTCTCTCTCTCTCTCTCTCTCTCTCTCTCTCTCTCTCTCTCTCTCTCTCTTCTCTCTCTCTCTCTCTCTCCTCTCCCTCCCTCCCTCCCTCCCTCCCTCCCTCCCTCCTCCCTCCCTCCCCTCCCTCCTCCCTCCTCTCCTCCCTCCCTCCTCCCTCCCTCCTCCCTCCTACCTCCCTCCTCCCCTCCCTCTCTCTCCTCTTTCTCTCTCTGTCTCTCTCTCTCTCTCTCTCTCTCTCTCTCTCTCTCTCTCTCTCTCTCTCTCTCTCTCTCTCTCTCTCTCTCTCTCTCTCTCTCTCTCTCTTCTCTCTCTCTCTCTCTCCCCTCTCTCTCTTTCCATATAACCAATCAAACAGCGCCTGTTGCACTTCCTTTTGCGTCAACGCTTAAAAAGCAAATGTTTCCTGTCCTTCCTGTGACCGTCTGACGTCATGCGGGAATGGCCGCCTAATCCTCGGCGCAGATTGGCTTCAGTCCTTGAAGTTTGGAAGACCGGGAATCGCTTGTGAGGAAGGAGTTCAGGTTAGGCCTTACAGGTAGGTCTTTCCGGTGAGTGATTCTAATGTTATTATTATTTTTTTCATGTATTTATTTATTATATATATATATATATATATATATATATATATATATTATATATATATATATATATATATATATATATAGAGAGAGAGAGAGAGAGAGAGAGAGAGAGAGAGAGATGGAAAGTCATGTGAGGGTCTTTGCAGTCAGTCCAAGGCAAGGATGTGTAGACTCCACGCAACGGTTTACGTAAAAGACAAATTGCTATCTACCATAATTATCATTACTATGCATTGACATCAAAGGCGATTGAGCAGAAGATATGACACAGCATAGTGCCAAGAGCATGGAAGTATCACTGTTTCATATACTGAAGAAATCCTTTTTCAAAATAAATGTTCCCTGTTAGTATTGAAAGAGCTCGCGATCTAACTCAAAACCTAAGCCACTCGAG